GGCTAGAGATGTTGAATTTTCATTAAATCTGTCATTTCCTAAAATCATCGGGCTATGCCAGTTTTCGTTGGCCTAAAACATTAGTAGTGGCTTCTCAACATAAAAAGTTCTACTTTTCTCACTCCCAGTAATTAACACCTCCTTTGATCAAGAGGCTAAAAGAACTCTGTCTTTGCCTTGGGTACTCAGGATTGGTGCCTTTTTCTCCCACATCCCCCATACAGCTTCCCATGAAACCACACATAGCCCAGGAATCAGAGGTTTAGAGCTGATAAATGGCAGAGGGTCTTCTGACACCAGTCCTCTACTATATGTTGGTATTCTCTCTCTTTTTCGAAAATAGTATATTATTTTTTCCAATTATACATAAAGACAATTTTTAACATTCATTTTAAAATAGTGTTTTGCTTTTTTCCAATTGCATGTAAAGACAATTTTTTACATTCTTTTTGGGTTCCAAACTTTATTCCTCCCTCTGCCCTAAGATGGTAGGTAATTTGATATAGATTATATATGTGCAATCATGTAAAATATATTTCCATATTAGTCATGTTATGGAAGAATATGTTGGTATTCTCAGTGAATATAATATTGAATTCTTCTAAGGCTTACTCTGATTTCTTTAAAGCCCTGTTTTGGTAAGAAAAAGACTGATTTTCACAATGATATTATCATAATCATCATCATTATCAAAGCTTGAATCAACATGTGAATGTTAGCTATAATAGCTGACATTTATATAGAACTTTTAAGTTCAATTCAATTCAATAAACATATATTAAATATCTACTATTTGCTGGGCACTCTCCAAAACACTAGGGATGCAAATAAGAAAAAGAAAATGTGACACATAAAAAATTTGAGAGATAAAGGTTTTGGGTAATTAATTAGTCATTTTATTAATCCTGCTAGCATCTAATTAATAAAAGGAGTCAGTAACACTCTCAAATGCCAGAGACCCTTCATGGAACCCATTCAACAATTATATGCTCTTGGAAGAGTGGGTGTTCCTGAGGGTGGCAATCAACTCTGATTGGTTAATAATTAATCAAAAGAATGAATATTAAAATGAGAGGTGAGTTTATTCTAATGAGGCACTGGGGGTCATGACTGATCACTCAGGCTTCATCGAAGAGACTTATATATCCCCATATCACCCTGCCTAGGGTTATCTAGACAAAAGGGAGAATCCACATTTTTCCAAACCTGTCTGAGTGAAACATAATGGGCTAGAATCCATCAAATCACCTAAACTAAAATTTCTTTACTTTTTGAACAGATCTGAGTTTTCCTTCTCATTATCAGCCCTTTACTTGAAAGACTGCCGGAGTAACCTACAGGGGCTGATTTTTGGATGAGGAAGTAGAAAATGGGGAAACCCTTGGTTCTAATTCAATAATTGGTTAATAATGTAAGAGAAAAATAATCATTTCTCTGAAAAGATAGCCCCTGCCCTCAAGGACTTTACAGTCTAATGGGGAAAGGCAACACACAGAACATAGTTGAAAAAAGGATGAGTGGGAAACAGTACACTAGGGAGTATGATGTTCTGGGGAGTCCAAACCAAAGCAGGAAACTGATGGAAAATGAAGAATTACCTAGTAGGGGCTGATCTATAAAGGAAGGCTTTGGGAAGAGTTAAGTGCCTGACCCTCCAGGATTCCATCAGAGGAGAGAGACAACTGAGAGCACTGCAAAGGTGTGGAGTACGAAATCTGGGTCAATTTGCATAGAGATGAGATTTCAGGTAATCAGTTTATCTAGGGTGAGACATGATAGCCTACAAAGGAAAAACCAAGCAGAGTTGCTGATGGAAAATTTTGCAAAGTGCTTTACATACATGATCTTCTTTTTGAGCCACACTCAACCCACTCAGGTAGGTACTACCACTTTTATTACTCCCATTTTACATATGAGGAAACTGAGTCGAAGAGGTAAAAATGACTTGCTTGCTTATGAGGCCCCAAGAACTCAGAATCTCCTTATTGGAAGTGCTAGAACAAATGTCTAATGAATCACAATCTACTCCCAAAATCAAGGGGGATTCACCATTTTTTTCTAACATTACTGCTAGGTTGTACCCTTCCCATGAATTGTTTTAGCGTGAACAGACATTTGATGGAGCTGTTCGGAATCTTACTCTTGGAAAAAAAGTTGCCAGACTAGGTTTGGTTAATGTGGTTCTGATCAGACCACCGTGTTGGTTGGAGTCTATGTGGATTTGGCACTGAATGTGTTTTGGATTTGACCAGAACCAACTTACAAGCAGAACAAGAAATTTGGTTACACTTTCGTATGTTGTTTAACAACTTGGTGAATGTTCACGGTGTAACCACAAATGTTTCCCAAGAAAGGGAGACCACAAATTGAGTGGTATTGATGATCTTTGCCACATTGGTCCCAAACTTGACATGTATCTGATGACTTGTATGATTCTAGGCCAAGTCTAGATGAAAAACCACATTGTTTTATGGAGGGAAGAAAATACACACACACACACACACACACACACACACACACACACACACACATACACTCACAACCTGGAATTTTAAGTGAGAGACAAAGACTTAGTACTATGGTGATTCTTTTCCCCATAAAAGTCAAAGGTCATTCATTGAATAAATGCACACTTATTACTGTTATTGTTCAGTCATGTTTGACTCTTTGTGACACCACTTGGGGTTTTCTTGGCAAAGATACTGGAGTGGTTTTCCATTTCCCTTCTCCAGCTCATTTCAAGATGAGGAAATTGAAAAACAGGATGAAGTGACTTGCCCAGGGTCACACAGTTAGTAAGTATCTGATGCTGGATTTGAACTCAGGTCCAAACCTGCACAGTGTGTTGTGGTAGGCATTGTGCTAAGCACTGGGGATACAAAGACAGGCAAAAGACAGTCCCTCCTCTAATCTAAGGGGAAAGGCTTGGAAAGGATTTAATGAAATCCACCAGTGTCGGACTTGAATGAGAATCTAGGCTGCTTTCAGTTCCAAAAAAAATCTTTGCACAGAGAAAAGAGTTTATTTCGTGTCACGTGGCAAGTGTTGCTGATTGAGAGACAGTTTGGTTATGTATAGAGGAAAGAGTGTCAGGAAGACCTGGATTTAAATCCCAGCTCTGACACTCACTCACTAGCTGTATAACTGGGCAATTCATTTAACCTTTCTGAGTCTCAGTTTCTTTGTGGGCAAAATCAGGATTGGTATACCTGTTACACCTACTTTCCAGGGGTGTTCTAAGACTCACATGAGTTAACATTTGTAAAATGCTTTGAAACTTTTAATGCCCCATATAAATGCCAGCTATTGGTGTCCCAAAGCCTTTTCCAGAAGTCAGTTTGGAAATGCTGGAAAAATTTTTCAATAAATCATAATGTCTCCAGAAAAGCAAGAAGAATGCACTAAAAATTCCTCTTTTTTTTCCCCCTGGGGCCTTTCGGTGCACTTCAGGTGCTCACGATTTGAATTCATTGTACACATATTTTTAATGTCTAAAGATAGGTTTGATATTTTACTTTGAGCCTAAGACAGGAAACTCCTGTCTCTAATAGTAAACAGAAAGGGGAATAAAATAGAGAATAGCTCTCAGAAATGTTTTCCAGTGTTTCTTTTTAAGACCAGTGTCTATTCACAAGCCCAAAATCTTCTAGAGAAGTAACATCCAAGCCCCTCTGTCGAATAGTGTCTGCATTCTTTCTCTGAATAGTACAGGGAAAAAAGTTAATTAACTTTGGAGTGAGTGCCTTTCAGATTGAGAATTGAACTTGCCAAGAGTTGTCAGCGTCAAGGGCTATGGAGAATTTCCTTCTTTCCCACTAAGGCCTGTTATGGTTTTAGTATTCTCTTTCCCTATACCTCATCAAAGAGAGGGGAACAGTAGCTACCATTCAGATCATTTCTTGTTTCCAAAGCACAGCCTTTGGCTGGTTTCAGTTTGCCCTGCCCTGAAGAACAAACAGAAAAACCTAAATAACTGGTTCCAGGCTTTGAATTGTCTGCACATGGAAAGCCATCGTCCTTCAACTGGAGAAGAACCAAGTACATCAAAATCTAGGTCAGAATGGGCAGGATTTTGAACTGGGGCGGGGCTTACATTGATCTTGTGACACTATCTGCGGGGAAAGATTAACCCCCAAATTTGAGACTATGAACACGATTTCAGAATCATCCTGCCATGCAGTACAATGGAAAGAGGGCCGTGTCTGAAGCCATAGGACCTGGGTTCAAATTCGGTTTCTATTACTACCTGTGTGACCTTGACCAAATCACTTAGCTTTTCTAGGTTCCAGTTTCCTCAAAAATAGTTGGCCTAGATAGTGTCCATAAATCTATGAGCCTATTATCTCTCAAAAATGGAAAATTTAGAATGATTTAAGTGGTTAAACAACATGCTAATTACAAAGTATTATTCATTAAAGCAGGTCTGAGGGCAAGCCATCCAAGCAACACCTGGGATGGGACCTCGGAGAAGGGAGAGATGAGGGTGGGCTACAGTGCTCAGGAAAGACTTGACTTGGAGGACATTGGATTAGAATTTAGGCCAACGAATATGGAAGGGATTTGTCTGAATGGAGGCAAAGAGGGTCAAGACTTAAGAGTCCCTGTAAATAAGCCAGCTTCCAAGTCCATCCATGCTTCTGGCACCAAGCACTCCTCAGGGTGGTCAGGCATTCCTCACTTTGTAGTCTGGGGATCTCCAGCTGCAGTCAGTTTCATATTCTGCAGGTGCAGCCCTCAGGCTCCCGGCACGCTGCGGGGGGTCATGGCTAGTAGCAAAGAGTCTGAACCATTGTGCTTAAGAAGCTGAAAGGCCCAGTCAGGCCAGTCAGAGGAGAAAGGGGGAATTCCTGCCAGGTTCTCCCTTTCATTGAAAGCCCGGCAGAAACTGCACCTTTAATTCTGGGAGGCCTGCAGCTGCAATGAGAGGGGGAAAATCTCCATCAATAAAAGGCCTTGTGAAATACAAACTAGAGAATCACTTGCCTCAAATAGTCCTGTTTAATCATGCTGAATGCCTTCTGGGCAGCGAGTGAGATTGCAACAGCTGGTGCCTCCATAGCTGAGCTGCCTGCGTTCCATTACCAACCTCTCCAGCCCTCGGCCTAGTTCTCTGCTCTTGTCTGAATTTGCCTGATTTCTTCCTAGTCCCAAAGGTTTCTAGCTGAATCATGAACAATGGGAGCAGAAGAGGTGAGTTTCATGATAGAGTATTGTTCCCACCGCCTTCTCTTAAGACTGTGGCTGAGAAACAAGTTTTCCCTTAGAGATGAAGCTTTCCCTTTTCAGAATATGTCTTAGTATTTCTTCAGTTAGCACATTTTTCTCACTCAATAGATGTCCATTCACAGTTTGCTTCCTACATATGTACCCTGAAAGACTGTCGATATCCTATCCTGAGTATGTGATAATGATAAACTACACCAGGGCTTCTTATTTTTTTTGTACCATGGACCTTTTTGTCAGTCTATTGAATCCTATATAGATCCTTTCTAAGAATATTTTTTCAATAATTCAAGAAAATGCTCAATTTCAGTTAGAGGTTAGTGAAATATATGTAATATTATATATTACATATATTTCACTAACCTCTAACTGAAATTGAGCATTTTCTAAGAAAGGGTCTATATAGGCTTCAATAGACTGCCCATCCAAGGTCATGGGCTCTCTGAAATCTATCCATGAACTTATGGATCCCAGATTAAGAACCCCTAAACTATGCTATCATAGAATTATAGATTTAGAGCTGCAAAGAGCCTTAGAAACAATCAAATTAGCCTTCACCCCATTTTACAGATGAGGGTATTGAAGTGAAGTCAAGATTCAAACTCCGAATCTCTGAATCCAAATCTAGTGTTCTGATAGATTGACTGACTGACTGGTTGGTGAATCAGACTACCCAAGTTTGAGGAGGCTTATAACCAGCTTGACTCAATAAATAGCTATAGCAATGCTTAAAGACCATCTTCTAAGTTTGCCATCTGCATGAGGTGAGATGGCGGGGAGGAAGAAGCTCCTACATTGGGAAGTCCTTGATCTTTGAGGTAGTCAAGTATTCTAAGAAAACTGTGTGACCTTTACCTGTCTTCTCCAGGGAGATATTCCTTGGAAATTTCACCCTCTGCAATGCTCTGGTGGTGTTGTCAGGGACCATTCTTACCTTCTAATAGAGATGTCCTTCCTTAGACACTCTTTGGAGAGCCTCTGCATTTGCTCAGGCTTAGATCCAAGACCAGGGTTGTATCTCCTAATTATAAGGGGCCACAGTCTCTGAAGAATTAAAGTGAAGAGTTATCCAAAGGGTGATAAAGAGGCACAAGATGGGTGTGAGGAGGCTGCAACCCCTTACCAACCAAAAAATGCATAAGAGAAGTAGTATAAGAATCCATGAGGGATGATCTATGATGGGAAAAGTAAATGAACCAAGCATATGCTCTGAATGGTTTGTAGGTCTGACTAGCTCATTCACCTCTGTGGCTCCCTATTGCTTCTAGAAAAAAAAAGTTAGCTCCTCTTTTTGGCATTTAAAACCCTTCACAATTAGCCTCCAACCTACCTTTCCAGGACAATCAGACCTTATTCTTCCTAATGTACTCTACATTCCAGCCAAACTGACCCACTTCCCATTGCCCGGACATTACATTCCGTCTCTTGCCTCCACTCTTTTGCATAGGCTGGGCCCCATTCCTAGAACGCCCTCCTGCCTCACCTTCACCTCTTCAAACCTCCAGGAATGGAGGTTGTAGAGTGATACAAAGGCAAGGAGGAGGGAGAAGGAATATTATGAATGGAAGAGGTCATTTGTTGGAATTGATGCTTGGGTAGTGCCACTACTTCAAGCTTCAAATGAAGTGCCTGCTCCTACAAGGGACCTTTCCTAATTTGCTTGGTTATTAGTGGTTGTGCCGGATCCCCTAAGAAAATTACCTCATGTCAATTTTGTATGTATTTTGCATTTATCTGTCCGTATGTTACACTTCCCCTTCCCCTCTTCCCACTCCAGTAAATTGCTTGAAGGCAGATACCCTTTCATTTTTGTCTCTGTATTCTTAGCACCTAATGCAGTGCCAGGCAAATAGTATCTGCTAAATAAAACCCTGTTGAATGGAATGGGCTGAAATTGAACTCATATACTATAAGTAAAATTAGAGGAAGGACCCTAACATGTTGGATGAACCCTTTATAGAAGATTTGTAAGAGGGAATGGGTAAGAATCACATAAGAGTAGATGATATGGGGAGGATGTGATATCCCATGTCGAGGGAGTAATCACATAAATTACAAATCTATTTAAATATCAAAAAAATAGGAAGGAGATAGTCTCTCTCTTGTTGTGAACTTTGTCTTACAAATAGTTTCATATAGAAACACTGGCAGATCCACTCCATTTTTCATCTATTGTTGTCTTTCTGCCTCTGTTGGTAAATCCCTTTTGGATTTATTCTCATGCCAAGCTTTCTAAACACTTCTTTCTTCTCCCACAGCTCTTCACTCTGTTGTGAGGTGATATTGCTTATGATCTTTCACCATCCTCCGTAATATTTTGAAAAGATGTGTTCTAAATAAGAGTAATCTTTCACTGCCATCTCTCCACTTGACAAGGAGAACAAACATCAGGTGACTAAAGAAGTTCCTGGGTGCTTTTGGCCTCTTTGTTGTGGCAATTGTTTTATGTTGATTAAATATCTGTGGAAAATGATGATTATCAGAATCAATGTCTTTCATCTTCTCCATTTCCCATTTTCAACATCAATAGCTTGTCAGAATAGGTCAGAATGGAGATATAATAACTGAGCAATGTCTTCATCTCACTTTTATCCTTTTTTATAATTTGTCATTCTGTTCATTTTACCTTTGCTAGAAGACACAATTGATGTAAAAAAGACTCCAATTTGTAATCAATCATTTCTTATCAATTATGGTTTACTCAATTTCATTTTTCTATGATAATTGTTCAGTTCTTGCCCTGTCTGTGATCTTTCAACTCTCATTTTGAAAAAAATGTTTATGATATCCAAGTGGAAGCCTTTTGAGCATTTGACAAGCCATTAGCCTCTATTATTTCTTAATGCTGAACTATACTTCCTAACATACTTTCTATTCTCCCGGTATCCACCTGCATAGTGAAGTCACTGAATATCAACATCTACGTTGACTTAATTTGAAGGATCTTGTCAAGTGTCTCACAGAATTTCTTTACCACCTTATCTTCTGCAGCAGAAGTTGATATGTAAATCATAATTATTGGTCTTTATGTACTCTCATCATGAACACTGCAAGGCAAGGTGAACAAGTAGCATGTGAAATGATGATCTCACTTCTTTTGGATACAGCATAAGAACAACTCAACCAACTTCTTTCTTGGCTTTTCCAAAAGCCTGTAAGCCATCCCACAATTCAACTGTACCTTCCTTTTGTCTTCTGGTTTCATTTATAGCATGAATATCAATAGAGATATGACTCAATTCATATAATTTAATAAAAGAAGAAATTGAGGACTTAGGAAGATTAAGTGACTTGTCCAAAGTCACAGAGCTAATAAGTGTCAGAGGTGGAGTTTGACTCCAGGGTCTCTGACTTCAATTCCTCCAGTATTGTGTCTATTCCAGGTCAACAGTTAAATGAATGGGTAGTCTAAAACCTGTGTGGTCCTTAACCCGCTTAGGCCACCTTTCTGCTATCCCCACCAGTTGCTAGTGCCCTCCTCTTTTCCCCCAGAAATTTCTCTGTAAATATAAAATTTGCATACATTATATGTTGACTTACATTTTCCCTAATTAAAACATAAGCTTCTTGAGGGCAGGCACTGTTTCATATTTCTCTTTGTATCCCTAGCACTTAGCATAGTGCCTGGCATATAGCAGGCACTTAATAAATGCTTGTTGAATGAATGAACCAATGAATGAATGAGTGGCAAGTAGGCAGCCCAAGTGCTTTCTGTACCTACACAATTTTGGAAGGTCTAGCCCTCCAAAGGGGTCCATGACATGCACAAAAATAGTTAAGAATCCCTGACCAAGAAGAAGGCCCTCCATCACACTGGATGAATGAATCCTCTTTCGTAGACCATTGGCAGAACATAAACAATAGCCGAACAGAAGAAGAAAGCCTTGGGGGAAGGGGAGCAGGGTAGAATTACAATCTGCGCTAATGGAGGGAGCCCACCTATTAATGAGATTATGGACCCATTAATGAATTGTAATATTACATAGCTCTGAGAACTCATGAAGAGATCTCCCCTGAGGGCATCAACCTTAACATTTTCACAATATTCCATTTTATCACACAACTCAAATAAGTCATCTTTTGTCTTGTTTAAGTGAGCAAATCAGGGACCAAGATTGCATGGCTTTTTTTTTTAAAGTTTGGAAATATATTTGGTCAATTTAGGCAGGGCCCCCAAATATCCATTGTACAGTAATTGTACTCCATCCATAACAAGAATGGCATCTCATCTGGAGGCTGACCATCTCATCATTTTTATTTTTACTATGCTCTTTATTCAGTGGGAATCTTTAATCTAGTGAGGGAAAAAAAGACAACTTTAATTTTAAGAATTCTGATGTTTCCCTAACATCTGTGGCAAACAACCCTTTATCTGCTCTTATCTGATTCCGGGTTAGTTTCAGCAATGGAAATGCTCGAGATTTTAATTCACTGATTCAGCTACCTTTTATTAAGTGTCTCTTGTAGACCCAACCTTAGTCAGTATTGGAAGAATAAAATTTGGCATTCAGAGACATCTGGCACTTTGAAACTTTTTCTCCCAATTCATTTGACTGAAGATGGAGCCAAACGCTCTCAGTTACATTATTTGCATCTTTATCTTTGATTTATTCACTCTTGAGTACCTCTGGGAAGGCTCGGTTTTGATGGTAAAGTGTACTTACAACACATATTGAGTGCCCAGAACATAATAGCAGCTCAATATTTGACGATGGTGATAATAACAATAAATATAATAATATGTATCACTTTAAAATTTTGAGACCCTTTATATACATTATTAATTTGAATCTCCAAATTAAGGCAGGTACTACCTTAGCAACTTACCTATCTATACAGCTGATATCACAGGTGGGATTTGAACCTAGGGCTCATTGGCCTCAAGTCCAGCACCCTACCAACCATGTCATTTGGCATCAACAGGTATGATTCAGCCTAACATGATCTCTGTACATTTGACATGAGCAATGCATAGTAGAATGGAAAAAAAAAGTCAGTCCCATTATCCAGCTGACTGTAATATTCATAATAATGATGCCTGTAGCTTATATTGATGTAGCCATTGGAACTTTACAAAGCACTTACCACATATTAAGCCTGGGACATGGATTCTGTTCATTTTTAACATAAGAAAATGACTCAGGGTGATTGTGACTTGGTCAGGGTCACACAGCTTTGGTCTTGAACCTTGGCTTCCTTTCTCTATGACCTTTGCTGTTATCAAAGCATAATAGTGCTTGTTTTAAAAAACAAAAACAAAACTTTGTTTATGGAATATTTTTATCATCTGAATTCAGTCCATCTCCATACTATCAAGATTGGGAAATTTCCTTCTTTGGTGGTTTCTTAAATACTCCATTGTTCTATTATCATGTTTAAAAACATGCCCTGTATGAGTAAGACATCATCTGGTTCTAATTTAGCAAATGTCTTTTTCTTCCTTATCTGCATCCCCTATTTTATGGAGCAAGCAGAGCTCTGGAGAGACAGGGCCTGATTTGCATGCATTTTGGCCATGGATAGCCCTGAGTGACCTAACATGGAGTTTTGGGTTCCTGCTGATGGAGCCTTATGTTTTGTTTTTGTTTTTGCAGTACTAGATTTGACAGGATGGTTCTGTCTTAACCATTTACAATACCACTAGGGGCTTTCCCTAGTCTGTCATTTTACATGAAAGTCTAAGGTATAGGGGGCAGCTAGGTGGCACAGTGGATAGAGTGCCATGGCCTGCAGTCAGGAAGACCTAAGTTTAAATCTGTCCTCAGACATTTATTAGCTGTGTGACCCTGGGCAAGTCACTTAACTCTATTTGCCTCAATTTCCTTGTCTATAAAATGACCTGGAGAAGGAAATGGCAAACCACTCCAGAACCTTTGCCAAGAAAACTCCAAATAGGGTCACAAAGAGTTGGACATGACTGAAAACAACTGATCAACTAACTGAGGCATAGGGAAGAGGCCTGGAAAACTGAAATCTATCTGTGAAGGAAAAAAGAAGAGCCTAGCCAACACTTGGCTCAGGGGTCACATCCTCAGTGATACCTTATACATTCCCTTTAGATGAAGCCATCAGTTTAATGTATTTAACACAGGGTTCTACTTAATGTGGGTGCCCTTGACCACTCTCCTTAAAGGCCTGCTTGGTTATGGGTGGCCTGCATTATCCCACAAGTCTGTCAAGACAAGCTCTGTGTAAGCTACTCTGTCCTGGAAAATCCAAGCCAATCTCTGGCTGGACCCAGATCAAAGGGTGAAACTTAGCACTGCATCTTCAAAGTGTACGAATGGGTAAGCCAAAGGGAAAGTTGATGACAGAACTGATGTTATAAACCATTAGCACTATTTAGAAAGTCCTTCAGTGCCCCCTATGTCACTGAGTGATCTAAATTTCTGAAGAGAGACAGAGTAGAGATACAGAGAGAGAGGTAGAAGGAAAGGTAGGTAGAAAGATGAAGAGATAGAGTGAGCATTTGTTAAGTGCTCTGTGCACTGTGCACTGCGCTGAGAGCTGAAGGTACAAACATAATGGCGGTAGACAATACACAAGGGATTCTGGAAGGACGGAGAGGGTATCCACATGGGGCCATGTTCCTGGCAAGAGAAAGCAAAAGCCTTCCCTATAAGAGTCATGGGAACCAGGTGTCCCACTAGCTATTAGAAACTCCTGCCAATGGAGATCAGTAGCCAATCTGCAACCTAAAGTTTGCTTTAATTCTTCACCTTTCTGGTGTCATGAGCTCCTTTGGTGGTCTGGTGAAACCTCTGGATTCCTTCTCAAGGTTTTAAATGCACAAAATAAAGTACTTAGGATTACAAAGGAGATCAATTATATTCATATACAATTATCAAAATATTTAAAAATAAGCCAAGGCATATACCCCAGATTAAGAACCACTGTCGGCCCAACACCCTGAAAGTTTAAGTACTTTGTCCCTGACTACATAGTTCATATGTGGCAGAGACAGGAGTTAAAACTAGATCTTCCTGTTCCAAAGGCCATCCCTGTACCTACTACTATCCCTTACATTGCCTCTCAAGATAGACCATATTGGATATCTCAAAGGTCTTAGAGGAGTTTTTTCTTACTAAAAGCTTATAACGGCACTGAGACTTTTGAGACACACTAGGTTTTTTTTTTCCTGCCCATTTATTTCTTTCAATAGAGACTTGATTATTTTCCTAAATAATTAAGTTTTTACTAGTTTGAAATCCTTAAATTAAGACAACTTTCCTATCCTTAGTACTTTGATTTTAAAAACTAACTTCTTTCGTTCAATAAAAATTTAAAACCCCCAAATGACCATAACATTAGGTTTTTCGGTCTTTAGTAAATCCATTAAGTAATTCTTTCTGAGTTGGATCTTCTAGGCCTGCGGAGTGAATCCTTTCTGGATTCTTCTTATGCCGCATTTCTAGCTAAAACCGGTGATCTCACTGTATCTGACGTTAAGAAATAGTGTGTTAATCCTACATA